CTGGCAGACACCGCCGGGCAAAACCCGCGCGGTGCTGGTGGTGGCGGGATCGCGTTTGACCTCGCCTGCAACAGGGGCCGCGGGGGGCTGCTTCTTCGGGCGCGACGGCGGTGGAGCTCGGCGGCCGGCGCGTCCGGGCGCGCGCTGGTGGTCAGATCCGCCGGCTGATCTGAGGCGCGGCCTCACTGGGGCGGACGGCGCTCCTCCGGTGGCAGGGAGTGCTCGTCGGTGAGGTAGGCCTGATCCCCACGGCTGCGCGGGCAGCGAGGTCCCGGTGGGTGCTGGTCATGGCGCGGGGAGGCCCCGGGCTCCTCTCGTCAGATCGGAGGCGATCTGGTCCGCTCGTGTTGCATGACCTCCGGCCGGCCTGGATCTCCGGCGTGCACGCGCCTGCTGATGTTGTGTCTGGTTCGGAGGTGGCGGCAGGGTGTCTGGCCGGGGGAAACCCTTGGCCGCCGGTGGCATTCACGGCGTCGATGGCGTCCCGGACGCCATTCCCTCCTTGGTGGCGGCGCCGAGGCTAAACCTCCCCTGCCTCCCCCCTTCCCCTGCGCCCAGGTGAAAACCCTAGCCCCGGTGGCTAAGCGGCGGCGGCGCCACAGCGTCGTCACCTTCTTGAAGGCGCCGACTTGGGCATGGGGATGTTGGGTGTGCATGGCGAGCTTGTCTTGTTCCTGGTGGTGGCCCGTCTGATCTACCGCGTCGCAGCTCCGGGCATGTCTCGTGACTACGGTGCTTATCTTTCGGCCGTGTCTCTGATGGCGACCTCGCCCTTCCTCACCTTGTACTTGCCGTGGTGGAGCGGTACTTCATCTCACTCATTGATGGCGGCGGAGATCGGCGGCATGGCGCTGTGGAGGCTCGGCGTCCGATGCGCGGAGATGGACTCGCGTAGGAGGAGGTAGCTATCTGGCGTCATGGTGACGTCGATGGCAGATGTGGCCTTCACAAAGTAGAAGACTCAATATAATCTGAAGACGGACTTGTGGAAGATGGCGGCGACGACACAAGAGTGCGTCTGACCGGATTGTGCCCCAGACCCAGTATGTTGCTCGGCTGGGGCTTCCGTCTTTTGATGTTAGGTTTAGGTGAGTGGTTTGGGTAGTGGCCCAGTTAGCATCCCTTCATCATATGGATAAGAGTAGCGGCATATGTTGCCAAGATGGTGGATTCAGGTATATTGTTTGTAATACTTTGTAAGGTCCTCGACAATAATTAATAAAGTGGCCGTATGCATCTCCCAGATGCAGAGGCCGGGGGTCATCCTCCTTTTCTAAAAAAAGAATGGAATCACAGTGTGGAGAAAATTTAAATAGAACTGCCCACTTGGAACCTTCAGTGAATTCGGTGACAAGTAAGTGCTGAAATAAATAAACTAGAGGTGCAGCAGATTGAGCGGGTCAAACACAATGAGATCGACGGAAATTAAGGCGGCTAGCTAGATTGGTCTCACGGGCAGCTTTACATTTACCAATAGAAACTCTGAAGCTGTCCGGCTGTGCTCCACCTGAGAGTTGCTTTCAGCCAGTTATTAGTGATCTCGATGGCAAAACCAAAAGGTCTCCAAGATTTTGAACTGGGTTTAATCACTTATTGATGTTTCTTTGACAGTGAGTGAGCCCCATCGGCACCTCCTTGACGAGTCCTAATACATGATTAGGACATAATACACTGTTAACTGTCCATCTCATGAAAATACACATTGTTAAATTGTTAACTGCAGGTCCTAATCGTTGCTCTAGCTGCATGGCGCTTTCAGTAACATCCATCAAACATCTTTTGTTGTCTACCGACGACTGCAGAGCCGTGCACATTTTAACCGTCCATTAACTTATTTGCTTGACTTTGTGTCATAAAAATAATTTGTCTGACTTTGTGATACCTTTACTTCATTTAGAAGGCAAACACTTATTTTTTACTAGAAACAACAGGTAAAAAATCTTCCCACTATTTTGTCTGAAGATGCACCCGCATCGTACACTCATGCAACGTCTGCTGAACCCTACAGCCACACGGATTTAGGATTGACGAAGTCGCCTTAAGTTTATCGCTATCGCTGAAATATTTCTCCCCCACTTAGAATTAATAACACGATTTAACTTTAGAACTTTAATAATTAGTTTTTTTTCAAACTTCAAAATGTTTTATAGCTCATACTGTCGCTCCAATTGAAAAACCGTCTTCACAAAAAAGATCATCTCGACGAGATCTTAAAACTAGATCCCATGTTGATATGTTCTGATGAAAAAAAAATCAGACCAAAAGTTACCACATCTGGGCTACGTAAGTTATCACGTCTGCTATACATAAGTTTTCTTGTCATTTACACAGAAGTTTCCGGGGTAGGTTTTCAACAAATTTTATCCCAGGGTCAAAAAGTGATTATGAAGTTTGCAGTGAGTTATTAGCTTTGTTTTGTATATTATCATGTTGCACAAAAGTTATCTGGTATACTTTTCAACAATTTTCATTTCCTCTGTCAAAAAATTACCGCAAATTTGTATGAGTTATGAGCTCTCATGTGCGTGTATTATCATGTTGTTTACACATGAGTTGTTGGGAGGTTTTTTTAACAATATTTTTTTCTGGTCAAAAAGTTACCATATCTGGATTAAGTAAGTTATCAGCTCTGCTCTATGTATATCACCATGTTATTTACACACAAGTTATCAGGTTACGTTTTCAACAAACTTTTATCCCGGGGTTCAAAGTTACTGTGGGGTTTGTAGTGAGTTATCAACTTATTATGTGTATAATACCGTGCTATTTGCACAGAAAGTACAGGGAAATATGTTTTTCAACATATCGCTTCCACCCCGACCCCCAGCCCCCCCCCACCCCCCACGGTTCACCTAAGTATCACGTATAAGGTGCTTCTATTACCATGATATTTACGCAAACGTTTTTGAGGTTATATTTTTCAACAATTTTTTTCTTGGGGTCCAAGTTATCATGGTGTTTGTACCTAAGTTATGATGTATGATGCGTTATTACCATGATTTTTATACAAAAGTTACCGGGGTACATTTTTGATAACTTTTTTCCTTCAGGCCAAAGTTGTCGTGGTGTTTGTGCCTAAGTTATCATGCCATGCAGAGATTACCATGTTGTTTACACATAAATTACCGAGGAGATGTTTCAATGAATTTTTTACCCCCGGTCGAAGTTACCATGACATTTAGACGTAAGTTATCGGGTCCCGGTGCAGAAATTACCATGTCATTTGCACAGAAGTTACCGGGTTATGTTTCAACCCAAAAATCCCTCATGTGAAGTTGCCATGATATTTACAACAAGGCTACATGGGCAAGATATTCAACCCGTTGGTATATGGGAGACTACAAGACAACTTGAGAAATCCAAAAAAACACAAGAGGAAAAATGTTTTTTTGACTCATATGAAAGTGAAAAAAAAGTTTAAATGTCACATTCCTACTTATTGGACAACAATCAAGGCACGGTGAGTTGATTAGTACATTGTTGATACATCGTAGGGGTCGTGGGTTCAACTCCCAGGGTTTGAGTCCCACTTTGGATGATTACTTTTTCTTTTATCAACACGTGAAAAATAAATTTCAATCTGGGCGTGGGCTGGACTGGCGTACGGGGTTGTGCGATCGAATGATCGTTCGGATCTACTAGAAAAATACGAACGCTCGGAAGTTACAAATTCTCAAAATAAAAAAGTCATCACCCTACTATTTACACATGAGTATTGGGGTGTTTTTCAACAATTCGTTTTCTCGGATCAAAAAAGTTATCACGCCTAGGCTAAGTAGGTTACCCCAGCTCTGTTGTGTATATATTATCATGATATTTATACATGAGCTATCAGAGGATGTTTTTTAAACAACTTTTTTTCTTGGATCAAACAGCTACCACGCTTGTTACCACGCTTGTTGTGCGTATATTACCATGCAATTTACATACGAGTTACCACAGGTATTGAGCAAGACATTCAATAGCGTTCCAAAAAATCAAATCGTCTGCCAAAATAACTTTTAAACACCAAAGGGGTGAATGGACGAGCTAGGTTGCTGGTTCGCCGATTCACTACGTCTGATGGGTCAAAAATCTACTCAAGTGTGGAAAAAACAGAAAGTAATTAACTTGTTTGCGTGCAAACGTAGCAGAGTTAACAGGTTAAATAAACTATCTGCTTTCATTCCTCCAAGAAACAGATTGTAAGTTGGGTGGTTTGCTCTTTGAGTTCTCACCTGAGAGGTGCGATGTTCGAATCCATCTCACAACAATATTTTTTGCACGAGCGAGTGCACGCGCGCAATGGGCAGCGATGCCCCGACAAATCGTTCGGATCTAAGGACAAATGCCGAACGTTCGGAAGTTAACAATTTTTTTAACTTTAATATTCCCTTCGTCCCGAAATAAGTGTCTCAAATTTTGTACTAGCTCTAGTATAAATTTATAGTAAGCTCAAGACACTTATTTTGAAACGGAGGGAGTAGTACTGAAGAGGCTTGTGAATGTTTTGGACTCCCATTCCGCTGGTGTTGGTTCGGTTTGAGATAGGTCAGTTTTCTCTGTAGGATATGCAAGTAATGATCGGTGATGTTCATTGGTGAACATGTTTGGATTCAATCTTCTTTTGTCTTTGGTTGTGTGTCTACATGTTTGAT